AGATACATCGTTGTTTCTACATGCGAGCCAAAGGAGGTTCCGTATATCCACCTGATCGACTCCACCAACCACCAACCTTGTCAAGCCACCATCTTTGTCACTCCTCTCTTCAATTTTCCGTTGATACTTTTTTGTAGTAACATATTGTGGATGGCTCTATATTTGTCGTTACTTAAGTTCTTCCAATTCCTCGTATGACCAATTGGTGTATGTGATGATTCCTCGTTTTCGTCATTTATGTGTTCGTCTACTAAAAAAATATAAAGAAAAAGAAAATAATATTGAAACATTAAAAGAATTAATTTGCGAACATATAGTAATTTTCATAAGCAGTAAATAAAGAAGAAGTACCCGTATTCAATCGATCTTCCTCAAAAGTTTCTACGGATGGAACATCATTTAGGCCTTGTGAAAAATCATCCACATGAAATACCTTAGCTGTTGAAGAATTTAGATTGAGATTATATTCCTCAACAAACTCTGGGGCAACAATATTAAGATCCGGTAAACTAATTCTAGCTTCCCTGGTCTTGGTTCCCAAATTTCCATTGTTACTATCAGCTTCTGATAACCTCTATATTTAAATCTAATTCAACTAAGGGTTCTCTCGTTTTTTTTTATACTCAAAAAGTTAAAGTCATACTTCGTTTTATAGACAATTTTGGTGGCAAGTGAATTTTTTTTTTTTAATTTCAATAAGTTAAAGTCAGACTTAGGTTTATTGGCAAATGTTTGTGGGAAGTGAATTTTTTAATCTCGTTTCGTCTTCAAAACTTTTAGTGGGAAGTGATTTTTTTTAATCTTTTTATGTTCCTAAAAATTTTATTGGGAAGTAAAATTAAAATTCTCATTTTAGTTGCTTGTTTTGTTTTGCAGCGGATAATAGAAAATTTCAATTGGAATCTTTTGAGGGAGAGTGATATTAATGGATGGTCGTACTCCATCTGTTCCACAATATCTGTCACTTTTAAGAAATTTTTTGTTCCATAATATCTGTCACTTTAGATTTTCAATACTGCATTAATTTAGTAATTATCAATTTTACCCTTATTAACTATCTCCAACACTCTCTCACATTAATTATTGGTAAGGGCATTTTAGTATAAAAGCATATAATTTCCTAAAATTAAGCAATATTTAGGGGAAATTTGCTAGACACCCCTTATTTTGGACTTATATAGGTAGAGATCCTAGTTGCTAGATGAATATAGGCATAGGTCCCTTGACCCATAAAAATAATATAAATAAAATAATATAATTAGTATATAGACATAGACACCCTCAATTAATAAGAAAACAAATCTCATATATCCTCTCTCTCTCTCTCTAATCTCACGTTTCTCTCACCCTATATTTAATCCTTCATCTCTCCCCCTCTCCCTCTCTCTCTCTCTCTCTCTCTCTCTCTCTCTCTCTCTCTCTCTCTCTCTCTCTCTCTCTCTCTCTCTCTCTCTCTCTCTCTCTCTCTCTAGGATGTTTTTTTTTTTTTTTTTTTTATGTTTTTTTTTTTTTTTTTTATATGATGTAGAGTCGCAGTAAGATGTGGTGATTGATTATGTAGCATCTATTACTAC